CTGCTGGGATGCAGAAGGGGCTCTATTTTTAGATGGACACCAGGAAGGTGTTTGGGAAGCATGTCACGGAGCTGCAATTGTATGAGCTGGGGAGTTTCCAAACAACAATTTCCTTGCTCTCCTCCCCTGGCGGGGCAGAGCTTGGTGCCTGCAGCGCGTCACAGTGGAGACAGGTGGAGTGCTGCACCAACCTGCTGGTCAGTGCACACTGAATGTCTGTTATGTGGAATCATAGAATTATGAGTTTCAAACTGCTGTAATGGAGGTATTCACCAGTGTATGTTACATTTGGAGGCAGGGGTTACTTTTCTTCCTTTACTAGGGGAAAACATTGTAAGTGAGGTCGCAATTTTGAGTGTGCTGCTTCCAAGACATTTGCAGATAGCAAGTGGTTTTCCTGGAATAACAGCCTCTCTCAAGAGAAATGTCAAGTGCATTTAATCAGGCACATTTAGAGCTCTGCAATATCTGCAAATGAATTATTAACGCTTTCAAACCTTTTTGAATGATCCAAAAGTCGTGCTGTTTGGATCATCAGCTCTGATTAAGGGCTTCTCCTTTCCACGTTTTGCACTGGAAGTTCTGCACCTTCCTGCTGCTCCCAGCCTGAGCTCTTGCTGCTCCAGAGGCACATGTGGAGCCAAATGCAGAGTGCAGCTGGCAGCGGCTGTGTCTGTGTGGATTTGCACCTCATTTAGCAAACAGCCCCGGATCAGCGTTGTGCACCTTGGGGTCAGATAACGGGTGCTCCAGGAAATGCAGTTCCCACACAGAGCTCATCATATCTACTCTCCACAATGCATGATTCACACTGAGAAAGCAGAAGATTGGTCTGGGCAGGATTAGCCTGGAGGAGCAGAGCTTGAGGCATTAGGCTTCCTGTTAGCTAGTAACAGTAGAAATGGCAGAATAATGCTAGGAATTAGAGCACTGCTCAGGACGCCTGCCTTCCAGCCACAGCTCAACCATTGGCATGTTCAGAAAATCATAGCTGCTTCCTGTCGCTTTGCCTGCAAAACAAGTGATCTTGTAAATGCTTTGAGAAATGCTGGTGACTGTCATATGTATGTGAGTCAAACTCCTTTCACTGCAATGTAAAATACTCTTAAAAAAAAAAAAAAAATAATAATTGCAACAATCCAATTTCTTCAAATGAGATAATGTGGTTACATTAATTTTTGAATCAGCAAATGTTCTCATTTCATAGCCCTAGCTGACAAAATAATGAGCCATCAAGATGCAGATGTAAACAAAACACTTGAGGTAGCATGTGACTTAGTGAGGAAAGAAGAAAACCAAAAAGGTATTAACTCTCCTGGTTACTAATACAGTGAATTCTGGCAGATGTATAGAGAACTCCCTCAGATCTTCAGAAAGGTGTTTGGCAGCTTGATAGGTTGCAACCAAACACGACATATATGTTCAATCTGCTTGCTGAAGCATGAGAATACTGTGAAGCTGACTGCAGCCTTTAGGGGTAAGATGTGAGCAGAAAGCCCCTAACAAACAGTGTGCAGACCAGCTGCATCTAGGATGCTGTGAAATTGTGGCTAAAACTCTGCCTCTTCCTTTGCCTGAGGAAAGCTTACAGGGTGGTCACTATTTTGTGCATTATTATAACAACAAGCTTGGTAGGGTGTTTGTTATGGATTACATACTCCTTAGTTAACAGCATGACTTCATCCCACTGTGCTCATAAGCAAAGCATAAAGCACAGGCAATCCAGGTGCAGTGGCTGTGGACTTGGGAGCAGTAAAGCACTGTGGTGTGTCTCTGCACGGGCAGAGCAGCTTGCAGATAGCAGTGTCCTGCAGTGAGATGTAGCTATCTGCTCCTCTGCAGGAGCTTGAGTTACATGTCCAAAGGTAATGTAACTATAGATACCAAGAAGGTGCTGCTTATATAATATTTGCTCATTTCATTAAAAAAAATAAATAAATAAAATGAATAAAGCACTTTACGATGAGATTAGCTATCTATTTTCTTTGTCTGGAAGAGGAAAGGATATAAATGTTGCTTTTTATCTTGAAATCAGCTTGAAACCTCTGTCTAGTTCTATTGTGCAACACGTAACTCCGTTATTTGAAGCTTAACAACCTTTTCCTTTTTATGAAGACAAACCCCCACAACAATGTCCCAATGGCTCTCACACTACTGGTGCAATGACTTGTGCAGAAGCTTCTCTTCTGAATTTTGTTACTTCCACAGCTGAAATGAATGTCTTGCCCTTCCTCTTCTCCTTTTGCCAGACCCTGCTGGCCCAGCTGGCTGCATGGGAGACCAGAAGGAGCATTGCTTCTGACTGGGTCCTAGACATCAAGCAGATCATGCAGCTGCCATCACCACTTAGAATAACGTGAACAAGAGGCAAACTGTAGAGGCAGCAGACTATAGAAAGTCTCTCATAGTTCCCCTTGCATGAGGGGCTGTAGGACTCCTGCACGCAATGAGGAAGGCAGAATATTGCAAGGTGGGTACTGATATCCATTCTGCTTTGAGGTGTGGCTTTATTTTCTTCTGTACCGTCTCTGAAATAATTTGTTCCCTTATGAATGGATTTGTACAAGACTTAAAGATGTTCCAGTTCCTTAGACCCTCAGCTTGTTCTTGTACCCTAATTTTTCCCTGCTCTTGCCTTGGATATGAGCCACAAGGTAGCGTTTGTGCCAGACAGCTGCCTGGGGCTTTGGGGAGCCTGGGCCAGGGAGTGCTAAGGACTGTGGTAGAAGGGAAAGGAGACTGATGGACTTAAAACTGCTATTGGCCATGCTTGATTGTGTTTCCTCTGTGTGCCATCTCAGTTGTGTCCCTGCACACCTTATAGCTGGAGGTACGGCACTGCTGGGGTGTTTAAGGAGCACTGGTTGAGCCTTACAAATTTTTCGAAACCACGGAGATTGATTAACAGTGGGCATAACAATAGTACACTGTTAATAGCTGGTGTAAAACATTGTAGTTTTGATGCAAACTCATACACTGACTTAATAAACAACATGAGGAAAAAAAAGCCAACCTTAAACCATGAGCCCTGCAGCCTGCTGGCTTTGTTTTTTGCTTGAAGAAAACATCAGGTTCTCTGAGTCAAGTCCCTCAGGATACCCTGAGCTCCAGTGATTATTGGTAGCACTGGGAGAGAGCTGCAGTGCTGCAGGCATCAGCACCAGGGAAAGAAAGTGCCGAGCCCACATGCAGCACAGCACCAAGACCCAAGGGTTGTGGTAGATGCCATCTAAAGCTCTATCTTGGCACAAAGGAGAAACAAAGGGGGTTTCTGCAGAGCAGTTTTCATTACCACCTCTCAGGTGCTGCTGGGCCACCACGGCTGTTGCCTGCCACTCTCCTCCCAACTGCCATAGCAACCTGGGCAGCCTCATATGATGCTCCTCAGGACTCGCTTCCCTGGAGAATGGGGTGAGAATGCTCCTTATTAAATCCACCCATGTATGTTACCATTGAAAGAGGGAAGGAAAGGAGAAGAAAAAAAAGGGAAGGAAAAAAAAAGGGAAAAAATGGAAAAGGAAGGGAAAGGGAAAAAGCCAATGACAAAATTTTTGCTGTATTTTCTGAACCTTTTCCTGCTAATTGGTTTGCATTTATTTAGCCTGGTATCCTGCTGGTGCTCAACACCTGCATTGAACAGCACATCTGCGTGCCTGTTGGCTTCTGTGTAGGCTGTGAGTACCCAGGGCCTGTGCAGGCTTCTGCTGCTCAGCTGCCAGCTGCAGGACCCTGACCCAGCACAGCCTCTGCTCCCATCATGGGCTCACCCAACCCTGCAAGGGCAGTGTTGCGACCAAGGAGGGTGACAGCATTAGGAATCAAAGTGAAAATGAAAGACAGTGGTTTCACATCACCAGCAAGCAAGTACTACTTGAAAAGCAACAGGTTTGTCTTTACTGGAGTGACTTTTGCTTTTATACTCTAAGGAATTTTTTTTCAGTTCTCTGCTTAATGTTTTGACTCATCTATGTAACAGAGAAATGAAGAATTTTAACGTGGTCCAAAGCAAGAGCTCTGGATGAACTATAATCTGCAATTGCTCCAGGTAATTGTGACACTGGAAATGAACTCTTATTTCTGCAGCCTTTGTACTCTGCTTCATTAGACATTACCTCGCCAAAAATCATCCCCACCCCACTTAGCATAGATGAGATGCTGAAGAATACCGCAGGGAGAGCTACTTTTAAACCATAATCCTGGAAATGCTTATGCCTGAGTTGTCCTAGTGAAAAACATGTGTGACTCATGGAGTTACACCAGTACATTTAGTTCTGGAAAGTAGCTGTAGCTTTTCCAGAACATCCCCTACAGTTCTTGGCAAGAGCCTGAGAGGTCTTTCACATGCCCAGGATGTCAAGTAATGTAGTGAGTGATAAAGATCTGTATGCTTATGAGCATATTTAACCATCATTTAACAAAAAATACTTTTATTAGACAAGAAAGGAATATTACCATCAGTGTTAGTTCTCTGCTTGCCTTGGGGCTTGTTTCTTTCTCCGCTGTAGCCATTGCGAAAGGTAGCAAGGAATCCATCTGTAGAAATTCTCAGATGAGAAGATTCCATTTGGTATTATTTAGAACTTTCTATATAGTTTGTCTTAGCTAGCAAGATCATTTCTCTTGCCCCACTGCCAAGAGATGCAAAGTCATTAGTTACTTGGGGCTCAGTTTTCAAACAGTGTAGTGCAGTTACTACTTGAGTTCACTTTTGACTTCAGCAAGATCTTCAGGTACTTAATACCTGGAAGATAATGCCAATCAGTGGTATTACAACCCAGAAAAGAAGAATTATGCCACTTAATTAATACGTGGTAAAATCGCAGACCTCGGGGAAAAAAAAATTGTAGAACTAAAAATATGTTTCAGTTTCTAATTTCTATGACTTTACCAACTCCTAGAAAGAAACACAGGCTGTTGTCCAGAAATAATTTATTCATTAGCAATAAAACACTGAATAGAAAAAGCCTTGTAAATAAAACTATATATATAATGCTTTATTTTTTTATTCGATACTCCACAAAAAAACACTACAGACAGTAACAAAATAATCCAGTTAATCTTAAAAATTTCAAATGATAATTCTCACTCTTCATTTATCATGTTTTATTAACAACGTGAAGGTCATTTGTTTACATATTATAGTTTTACTTGATTTCATTAAATTGTTTCTTAAAACACTTGAAGCAATTTGTTATTTGCCCCATAATTTATAACATACATAAGTATATCAATAAACAAGATAACAGCTCCGAGAAAGATATGCAGACTGTTCAATGGTAAGTAGTCTACCAGAAGTTGTGTAGTGGGAGAGCGGGAGTAAATCACAACTGAATTGGGATTGAAGTCAACACATGGGAGAGAAATCATATTTGGAGAACAATTACATATTTTCCATTGCCCGTTTAGTAATGTGATCTCTTTCAAGCTCTGATTTCTCCTGTTTTAGATACTCCAGCACCTTTGCCAGCATATCCTCGTCCAGATACTGCCTGTTTTGCGTGTCATCGGTGTCCCCAGCCATGGAGAGCCTTTTGCTGAGTGAAGCCAGCCTCGCAGCCTCCTGTGGTCCCAGCTGGCTCAGTTGCTCTCTGATGGCCTGCTCCAGCCTCTCGTCTTCCTGCAAGTCGCTTTCAGAAGCTGGAACGGGAACTCTTTTCATCTGGTTCGCGTTGATAACTTCGGGATATTTTGCCAGCATCTTTGCCAAGTAATCAGCCAGCTCTTCATCCTTCTCATCCAGTTTCTCGTACTCCATTTGTCGCCTTTCCAAATCGTTAATCCACGCAGATTTGGGAACTGGGCGTCCTTTCAGTCTTCTGGGAATGTAAGGCAGTCTTGGCAAATCATTTTCTTGATTAAGACGATTTAGTAAGTAGGAGGGATTCTGATTACCTAAATTGCCAGTTCCCAGAAGACTGACAATGTCTTCAATATTGAGGTCTTCAGGTAGATTTTCTGGAATTGCATTAAGAGGCTGCTTCATGTACCCATTTTTAGAGTTTACATTATTTTTAAATATGTCACTCTGTCCCAGATTAGTTTCAGTGATCTCATCGAGGTCTTCTGGGAATTCTGCTTCCTGCTCAGCTTCCAACCTTTCACTCTGAAGCTGTTTTTTCTCCCCAGCTTTCAACATATCTATTAAATCCTCTGGAGGAATTTGTAAATTCCTTGACATTTCTATTAACTGAGCTATAGACTGAGGGTTGAGTTGCTTGTCCAAAATTGAGGCTGCTCTTTTCTCCTCAAGCTCTCCTCCAGTCCTTAGTTTCCTGTTTCCAGCACTGCCCATCAGCCTCTTCAGGTAATAATTCATTAACTTTGAAACATTCTCTGACATTTGATCTTTATTCTCTCTTCTCATTTCATCCTCAAGGAAGCTGAGTTTCCCTGACCTCTTCATTTCATCATCAACTTCCTCTTCATGTTTGTCAATTTCCTCTTTACTATCTTTTATCTCTTCCTGGGTTTGGCTTTCCACTTTTTCTTCTATGGGATTCCAGTCTTCTCCTCCAACCACATCTTCATAGGCAATGTTATTTACTTTATACACATCATCTTCATCATCTGCATACAGTTTCTGGTCTTCATCCAGCCTCTCCTTCTTGTGATTACCAGGTCCTGCCATCTTCCCCAACTCCTGAAACACCGATTCCAGTGTAGCAAGACTTTGGGGTGTGTATTGCTCCTCCACTATTTCATTAGTACGCTTGAAAGGACTGTCTCTTGAACTGTCTTCATAGTGGCCAAAAGGCATTTTGAGATATTTTTGCCACTTTTCAGGCCACTTGTAAGCCTCATAATCATCAGTTACTCCAGCTGGAAAGCTGTTATCTGAGCTCAGACCATAAAGTTTATTTTCCTTTGTGCCAGCTTTTGACTCCTTCTCAGCTTGCCGCAAGGCTTCCAACATAACCTTGACCCACTGAGACTCATCTTCAGTCAAAGAATCCCTTACATTTTCTGGTAGGTGAACCTGATCTTTGTTTTCTTTCTGTTGCAGGACATACGGGACACTTTGAAAGGAGTTGTAATCAGGGATGCTTTCTCCCTTGTTAGCTTGCTTGCGAAGATCTTCTATGTATTCCAAAGCTTTGATCATATCAGGATTCGGGAGCCTCTGTAAGTTTTTCATTACATAGTCTGGGTCTTTTTGAAGCAGCTGGTACTGCTGGAATGAAGCTGCATCAGCCCAACAGACTAGGACAAAGAAAAACGTGACAGCACTGGCTGCTCCAAGCTGGATGGTTTTAGTTTCTGCCATATTTAGCATACTTCCTTGAAATGAAGAAGAAGAAAAAAATAAATGATTAATATATGGAGACAAACTTAGCAATCTGAGAAGCAAAATAGGGACTGTTATTTTACACTGAAATGCGTTACGAAGAATATCAGTATAAATGGAGGATGTGTATTTTGATGGAAATTTATTTTGAGATTTTTGGAGTCTTTCCTATGATCTTTCAGTTACGTGTAAACTACTGATTTGTAGTGCTAGAAATTTCTGTATGTGCAGTTTTCTTTACAAACACCAGTTTTTGCAATGGCAGAGCTGAAATATATAATCAAAATCCTATACAGCTCAATGAATGCTCATAGAAGATTCTAGATACCATTTTGATCATTAAAATGAAAGCTTCAAACAGTAAAGCCAGTATGTCCACATTAAAATACAGCTCAGGATATAAATATTTAGACTGCATATAATATTATTTTCCGTGATTGTTCCATAGGGGATCTCATTTTCTGAATGAGTAATGCCTCTTAATGGTGCTATACTGCAATAAAATTAATGTAATAAAGTGGAGAATGTGGCATATAAAATGACTTGCAGGTTTATTTCTGTCATTACTCTTAGTGTTATTACTTCCTTTTGTGCTATTTAATAAAAAAAAATATTATTTGTATTGCAATTGTATCTTAGTTAAGAGGCTCTCTGAGTGGTGCATGAAAAGTAATCCCCTATATGAAGGAGAAGCTATAATTTACCCTACAAGTACAATATAACGTTACTGAAATTTTCCAAAACTGACTCAAGTATAGGTTCTGAGTGTTGATTTTGTTCATTCGTTGCTTTGTTGAAACAGGTCCCGGGACAAACAGAAGCTTGCCATTGGCATAAATAGAGAATATAGCACTAGAAACTCACATCTAATCAGCATGTCCAGTTTGTGACAATCAATAATAAACTGTTTAAAAGAACATACTTGGGGAAAATATGCATCAGGGTAGATTAACAAAGTTGCGTCATTGCTGCATATGAGGGTAGAGCTGCACAAGCCCCGTCCTGCGGCGAAGTGAGCACGCTCTGCACTGTGAAGTGAAAAATTGCAGTCACTTATTTCCTAGGAGATGCTCAGGAGCTCATACACTGGAGCCGGGAGACAAATGAGACTTTCCTGATGCAGTTACATTAATAGACTAAGTACAATAATGAGAAATAAATGGTAAACATAGAAACCACTTTGCTTTAATGGACCTGTTTGGGCTCCTTTGTTTTTGGCTTGGTGAAACCATCCTGTCAAGAACTTGGTGTTTCATGTCAGACTGATAGAGAGCTATGTATACCATTGTTTATCCACTACTGTCAGTGGAAAGTGAATATGAGTATGCTCATTTCAGCTCACTTGTACATTTTCCCACTGCTTTTGTGCCTAACATAATGTGACTTGACTGAATAATTAAAATAACATCAGTTGAGAGACACTTTTTTTTTCCTCAGTATGTCTGAGCAAGCTTGCAGCCAGACGAGCAAGCCCTTTCCCCTACCATTTATGAATACTCAAGTCTGTGCATTTGAGAATAGATTTCATAAAGAATTAATTCAGAACAGCTGAGTGGAAAGGTGTGCCCTCGAGGTATGTGTTTGCCCTGAATCAAAGACAACATATTGTGTTATAGACAAGGCACTATTCTATATATAAACAAATATGTCTCAGGGCAAAAGGGAGGGAGCAGAAATTGAAAAATAACAAGGAAAATGTTATCTACATATTGCCTACTATAGCAAATAAATGATATTTTTTTTCCCTGTAAGAACGAGTTTGATAAAAACAGGAGAAACTCTGTATTTTTTGAGGAAGGGAAGAAGGTAGAGTTGTTCTGTAATTATCTACCATGCACATCCCATTAAGAGAACCCAGGAGAGCAACCTCCTTTACTGCACACAGTTATGTATTCCTCCCTCTGTTATCAGAGTCAGCAGCACCCAATTAAATCTCAAAGGCATTTAACCCAGTGAAGTTTTGTTTACTGCTCCATGAGGGTGTTATTCAGAGGAATATTTCCTTTGCAGGAATAACAAGGCATTGGTACTACTGTAGATACATGGAGTACGTTTGTCTTTAGATCAATCTTCAATTCTAATTTACTGGTAGATGATATTCAGAAGCCTTTGTCAAATGGAGCTGGAAATTGACCTGAGCTGGAAGCTCAGGTCATAAAATGTCATGAAATATACTACTTTATTTGGGGGTAAGGGACTCCTCCCCAACTCTTTCAGGTTTCAAATTCTTGAGAAAACAGAAGATGTTTTATAGTACCTTTAGAATACAGCGTAAAACATTCTTATGTCTCTCTAAGGACAATATGCTGAAATGTTTGGTCTATAGATGTGTAATTGTGAAGCTTGCATAGATGGGGAGTGTATTATTTCTTCTCTATTAGAGCCCAAGAAACAGTAAAATCAATCTCTGTCCAGCAAATATACAAGTTTCTCATTATAAAATAAAAAGATTTACTTCACAATTGGACATGAACAAAGGCAATGCGGACTGACAAAAGTTCCCTGGAAAACAGACAAAACAATAAATCTCCTTTTCTGGGATGTTTCCATGGCAGCAGCAATTTTCTCCTTCTCTCTCTCTCTGATTCAGATGCAATGTTTCCAGTGAAGATTTGCTATGAAAACTCAAAACCTTTCCTGAAGATGAGTCCTTAGGACTATGAGAGGAAATCCAGCTGCAGTTTTCCATAAAGAAAATAAGGAAATACAGCCAGCACTTCTCCTCCCATTTACTTTGGCAATAAATAGAACAACTGCAATAAAGTTGCTTTTTTAAAGCCTAAGCCCTTATCCTGTGCAAGGGACTCAAAGCACGAACAACATAAAAAGAAAGGGGGTGAGGAGGAGGGGAATAAAAACAAACAAACTGCAAGCAGTTCTGAGCAATGATAACGACTGAATGCACATGGAGGTCTAATCAGATTGTCTCTGCATCCAAGGTAACCGTGCATCCTGTATTTTGACACGGCCAAAGTGCCATGCTGATGAGCCGGCGCAACTCAGTGCAATCACAGAGACGTTACGCTTCATCGCTTCAGTCTCTGATAACACCGAATAAATGGATCTACAGGTCTACAACACATACATACATTTAGTTATCTCTGCAAACACCAGCTACAGCCCCATCAACTTTCTGCTGTCACTCGTGTTTAACTTAACCTCTTTTTCTCCTTTTTTTTTTTTTTTTCTTTCCGATTCCTCCCTAATCTGCACTGAGCCCCAGGATTGGGGCGCCCGGCTCCCCGGCCCCGCCGGCCCATGCCCGCCCGCAGCCCCTTACCTGCCAGCACCGCGCCGCCGCCGCCGCCGCCGCCTTCAGCACCCGGACAGCGCCCGCTTATACCGCCCTCGGCGCGCCTGACGTCACCGCGCTCCGCTCCACGCCCCGCCCGAGTGGCAGCGCCCCGCCCATCCGCAGCGCGGGGAGGAACGGGGGTGGGGAACGGGCTGTGCTGGGGCGGGGAGGGGTTGGGGGGGAGAAGAACAAGAACGAGAGGAGGGAAAAAAAGAAAGGGGGGGAGTAGGGTGGAATGGGGGAAAGGAAAAGAGGGGTAAGAAACGTGGGGGGAAAGGGAAAGGAAGGATAAAAATGTGGGGAAAGAAAAAGGTGAGGGTGAGAAAAAGGAGAAGGAGGAAAAAGAAGAAAAAGAAGAAGAAGAAAAAAAAGGAAAAAAATCGACAAATAACAGCGTGAAAAATTAAAGAAAAGGGGGAAATATAGGAAAAAAAGGGATGGGGAATAAATAGTGAGATGAGTGCGAAGGTGGGTGCGAGCCACGCTGCAAGGACGGGTGCCAGGCAGCCCAGGGTGAAGTTTGGCACGCAGCTACCTCGGTGGGGATTTTTTAAGAGCCACCGAGCTGCAGCACGGTTGTGTGGCAGCACAGCATGGGGCAGCAGGTGCAGGCGAGGCCAGCAGCGGCCCCAGGGGGACTCTCAGTCCCCAGGCACTGCCTGTGGGTCACAGTGCATTCTCAGCACTGCCTGTGCAAAGGGCAGCACTTGCACGTGTGAGCAGTATGGTGAGCAAATACCTCTGCCATAAATCAGGAGGCATGGCATGGAACATATTTCTTCAGCTTAGGCTCATTCCTTTCTGTTCCAGAAAGCGTTTTACCTTGGCTTTTAATGGGTCTCCTTTTCCCCCAGAATAAATCTCTTCTGACAATTTTGACCTTTTGCAGCACAAAATGGAAAAAAAGAATAAAAAAAAAAAAAAAAAAGACACCAACACCCTAAGATGAATGTACCTCCTAAAGCAGTAAATGTTACGAAATTAAACTGACAGAAGAACAGAGAGGTAGAATTCATAGCAGCTGTGTGCACGGCTAACAGGACTGCCCTGGCTGCATGTGCTGTGGCAGCACTGGAGATCAGGCAGCCTCTCCTCAGCACATGTGGAGCTACCAGGAAGGTACAGGGCCATCTTCTGTCTGTGCAAAACCCTCAGCACCTGCAGGTGGACACGGCTGCATTTCTTGGTCTGCTGAGAAAACACTCATCGTGAAGAGCAGAAAAACAAAAGAAAGAAGAAAATGTTCAGATTGTCAAGAATTCCGTTGTACCTCTTCCAATGGACTCTTTTTCATGCATTCCACGACCAAAAGCCCAACATTTATCGAGCAAGTTCTTTCGCATGAAAATCATCATGCTGTCCCCATCCATCCACCCCGACCTCCTGCGTCGGCACGCGTTTCAGACCACACTGATTAATTGGCACATCAGCACAATTCCTTCCTCTGTTCCTTAACCGCTCACTTGAGATTTGCAGCGTGTGAAGGCAGGCAGATGCTTGGCTTAGCTCTGCTCTGCACAGCTGTTTTGGTTTCAGTGGATAGAATTTACAGTAGGCTATCCATAACTGGGCTGTCAGTTTCATTGCACCTAAAAACCTGAACTTCACAGGGACACTGTGCTGAGGATCAGATTCACATAGGCCTAAAAGGAGGGCCTTAATAAAGGTCCCTTTTTGCTTGCTTTTTTTTTTTT